AATATGAGACAATGCAATAGTATATAAATAATTAATGCAATTAAATGCATCTTACAATAGCATTTCTACTATTTCTTGATTACTTGCAGTAAAATAGCATCACTGTGCAAATGTGAGAAAAATTTAGTTTCTTTCATATGTGCTTTTTTTTTTTTTTTTCTGTTTGAAGGGGAAAACAGATTGCTGAGAGCAAGTGGAATGTGCCTCCCTGGAAGTATTCAAAACTCAACTGGACAAGGTCCTGTGCGAATTTCTCCCAGTTTGAAGCCCTGAGCAGTGGGTGTAGATGCCTCTTCCAACATAAATATTGTGATGATACTCTATACTCTGCATTATAGATAATTATACACTTCTATTGTAATCTAAAGGGCATATGAAAAGAGAAAGTGTATTTTGTTGCACAGGAGGTGTTTGAGGTGTTTAGGAATAGTCAGAACTCATTTTTCTGTTTACCTAGTGATACTGATCATATTCCTTGACTCCTCTCACAAACTCAGTTCCAGTCAGGCTGAATGAACTTCTACAGAATAAACTTCTTAAGATGCAGAAAATAGAGCAAACCAGCCAAAAAAATTCATCTCAATTGGCTCTCAGTTACAGCTGGATTTTTTTTCCTATTTGTAACTTAAACATATCTGTAAACTCTTTGTTCTGTTGTGTTTAGTTTTTTGGATTTTTTTTTTATTTTTTTTTTTTTAGTGAGGCTTGCTGCTTTTATGAATTTCCACCAAAATAAAATCAGGGTGAAGAGAAATGTGTCCTTGACCTCAGGTATGATGAGGTTCTCCTGTCATGAGGCAGTGCAGTGTCCCACAGATGCTTTTTGTGTGTGTTTGCACTAGTTGGAAGGTTCTACTCTATTTTCATTCCCTTCAAAAGATCAGGGTGGAAAGACCACAGAAATATCAGATGATAAGCAATGCTCTTGGATTTGAAATTGTTGTATCTCCCAGATATGATACCAATAGTATTAGTTCTGCTTCCATACCTCGCAGATATTTTATGCTGAATGTAGCCAAGAAAATACTGCACAATGCATAGAGAAGACTGCACTTTAAATATCTTTAGGACCACCAGGTTGGTTTTGTGTTAACGCCAGAAATCTGATTTCTGGACTGTTGAGAAGGAAATAGAAAGTAGGAAGAGTGTGTAAAAAAAAGTAATGAAAACCCTTCCACCATTTCTTAAGCCAACTATTTTATTTTAAATTGCCAAAACAGATTTGCCATTATTTTTCTCCACTGCTTTGGGGAATAGAAAGCCAACTTTTTAATGGCAGCTATAGTTTTCATTAAATTTGTTGCAAGTTGAGGAAAACTCTATGAAGTTATTATTTCTAATAATTCTCTCTAGTGGAGTAGAACTGGGAACACCTCTTTTCTCAAGTAGGTCTGCAAGTCAAACAGTTGCAACCAAAGATGTAGAAGCTTATATACCCATCCACTACTATTAATTGGAGACACCGGAGTTCCCTTATGTCTTTCCCTAATTCTGGTAGATATACAGATGTGATGCATGATGTTACATCTCCTCAAGGTCACTGGAAGCTGTGGGCTTCACACTGTTCCTAGTTCAGTCTTATAGTAGTACACCTCATGCCCATTTTGCATGAGGAGAATCCATATTCTCTCTGCGTTAGGATATAAAGTTGCAATTATGAGGCTTTTTTAGTGCTTTTTGCTGTTTCTCAAAATATTTCTCTTAATTGCTTGATTTGTGCTGATAATGAATATATTTAGTATCCTGCATGCAACACAGAAGGTAATTTATGGTTCCTGCAGCTCTAAAACAGGTGGCCAAAGTTAGATGGCATTAGTTAGATTGGAATCAAAGTTTTCTGCAAACACACTTTGTTTGCTATTGTCACAGACACAAGGGTTTTATGCTTTGATGAAATAGGGAAAAAAATCAAAATTGCAGAATATAATGAAAATATGCACAGATGACATTTTCATCTCCAGTAAGCTTTCCTATTTTAGATCAAAACAACTAGAATAGTTTACAGGAAGTGTTTCTTACTGTGGCTTAGCTATTGAAATTAATGGGACTGTAATACCATTCAGAAACTTGAAAATGGAATTTATCTTACCACACTCTTTGGATGTAAAGAAATGTATCAGGCAGACTATGTCTTCTAAAACCTTCTATTGTAATGAACCTGTTAGTCATTATTTTTCCTAGACAAGTTTATTTTAGAAAAAGAAAATGAATACAGATGGGTTATTGAAAGTTATTTGTGAACTCACTCAATATTTTGAAAGGATAAGAAAAATGTTTTGGCGATTGCCAGATAAAATAGATTTCTATAATATTACAGAGAGATGATTATACAACACAGGCTGATCTCCTTCCTGTCCCTTACTACTTGCCAAGTTGCTGAGTACCCGCATTGTGGCTTTCTAACTTGTCTTAGCCATTAAGTGCAGCTCCCTTCTGTGGAAGTGCATGATGAAAGGCCTGTCTGCATTTTAGCTTCTGGCTGGCACAACACAGCTTTCATTTTCTCACACTTGCCTTTTATCGAGGCAGGTAAGGAAGGGAGGGAATGGAAGTTTTGTCTGTCACCAAAGTTTGAGCTTTGGTGGGTGGAAAGGGAGAATGCCTCATGGGCATATTTGCTTCCTGGGAGAAGATGGGAAATAGACCCTTTCCTGAGCCTTGTGCTCCATGCAGCTCACACATTTGTTCACAGTTTAAAATGCACCATGTCCCACATAGAGCTGCAAAAATTAGCAGGGGGAAAGAAGGGGTTGGGGGAGAGGAATAAGAGTAGTGAGGAAAAGGTAAGGTAGTCAGAAAGCGGCAAAAGACAATTTTCTGTAGGCTATTAACATTTTTACATGATTCAGTGTGAGTAAATGAGCACTTGGGTCCTAGTCATATAATATAAAGAATTTAAAGAAGGTCTCCAACTGTTAAAGCTTATTCTTGATCTTGGGGTCTGCTTCGTGGCATTGGGGGTGAGAAACTGCTTCAGCATAGACTTCTCTAGCAACTCTCACCTGTGTGTAGCCTTGAGAAGTGCAATGGCAGAACTGCATAAATCAACCAGTTTGATGGTTCAGGGCTAAAAAGGTGCGAAAGAATCAGAGACTTATATCCTTCAGAAAAAAAATATCCACCACCTTTTATTCTTTTGTCATTGAACAGAATGGGCCATGAGTAAAAAAATCTAAGGAATGAGGACATCAGTTCACAACAACAGTGGAGGGGATGTGTGCCTTTGTAATGTTCCAGTGGCTGAGCCTAATGATAAAAAAACAACCAACCCACCTTCGAATCCCTTCAGCATTTAAAAGCATCTCCCTTATTCTTGCCCTCCTATAAGAACAGCTCCAACACAACACTGTTGTGTACCCCAGGTAGGCTGCTCTCATTTTGTCAGAGGTGTTGCATAGGATATAACAAGCATTCACAGTTGCTGAAGTAAGATTTGGATCTCACATATCCTTACTTTTAGGTATGTGTCTTATTTACTGGGTCACAGGGAGAGGTAATAACTAGGTTGTATGTGGAAGATGGAGCACCTAGATAGTAGTTACTGCTTTGGCAAGTGGAAATCTGTTTTATCAAAGAGAAACAGTTTCAACAAAGTAAGATATCTCAATGCGAGTCTCATCCTTTCGCCTGAAAATTCAATAAAAATTGTTTAGAAACTGCTCAGTATTTCTGGTTAAAAAGCTTCTCAGATACTGCCCTCTGGGCTTATCTTCCTTTAACCATACCACTTTCCAATGTTGCTGTTAATAAAGTGTTCTAAAGATAGCCAGACAGCTCTATTCATGTTTGACAGAGGTCCTCTTTTTAATTACACAGTTCCTATTATTCATTTTGCATGAATAGTAAAAGTTTGAAGTGGTGTATTTAAAATGTTGCAACATCAGGAACAGGCAAAAATGAGCTTCCTGTGAATGTTGTACTATTATCAGACATCTGCTCCCCAGAACCCCACTGTGATTTACATAGAATCACAAAGCCATGTCAAACCTGGCCTTGAGCACTTCTAGGGATTGGGCATCCACTACTTCTCTGGGCAACCTGCTCTGGTGTTTCAACATCCTCCTCATAAAAAATTTCTTCCCCATATCCAACCTAAATCTACCCTCTTCCAATTTAAAATCATTGCCACTTGTCATGTCACTAAAGGCCCTTTTTCTCTGTCTGTCTTATAAGACTCCTTCATAAATTGAAAGGCTCCAGTAAGGTCCTGACAGTGATATTTCTACTACAGGTTGAACAACCCCAGTTCTCTTAGTTTTTCTTCATAGGAAGGTGTTCCTGCCCTCTGACCATTTTTCCATGATCCTTCTCTGGATCTGTTCTAACAGGTTCATAAGGGGTGTTACTATATGCTACTACCTGCAGAGGTTGCTCTGAGATTCTTCTTTCTTTCTATCTTCCTTTGAAAACAATTGTCTCCAAGTGTCCCATGTTCTCCCCTGAGCCTTTCCTCCTGTGCAAAATATTCAGCACATCCAGCTTAGTACTGCTTTCCCAGCTCAGTACTGCTTTCCCAGGTCTCCAGCCACAGGCTTCCAGGGGCACTGGGATGCTGGAGGCTTCCAGCCACCCTACCCTCCAGGTCTTGTGATGTGATGGTAGCTGTGCAGCTGTTTAGTCCCATGCCTCCTTTCCCCCTAGTCACCCTAGGAGACTGAATCTGTCCTGCCAGTCATGAAATCATGGAATTCAAGATGGCCAATGGCTTACCAGGCATGCCAGGATTCTGTTCATAAAAATGCTTTCTATTCAACCTGTTCCTTTAAATGTTAGAGGAAAGCAATACAGCAATTACTATATGCACTAAAATGCACTAAATGCACTAAAATGACATTTGATATGCTTGTGCATGAACAGAATTAAAGTCAGGACATGAATAATAGCACTTCTAAGCAACAGCCCAACTTCCAGAAAAACAAACTAGTCTGGATTTCACAATTGTCATTGATCGAGAACCCAGCACAAACAGGTTTTCAGTGGACATGTATTCCATTATTTATTAGATGAACTTGTCTAGATACAGCTTCCAACACCAATAAACCTTTCATTTACAAGATCTCTGCTGGTTTGCTCCTGTCTGTGCAGATATTTAGACTGTGATTCAGCCACCTTATAACCACTCTTTTTTTCAGATATGAAATTTGAAATACTTCAGTTTTCACTCAATTTTCCTGTCTTCTCATCCATTTTAATTTTCTTAAACTTTTTGCAGTCAACTTCCTTCTTTGACTTCACATACCAGTCCGTAGCTGAATATTCCAGGAGCAGTTCTGGCAGAGAGCTCCCACAAGACAGGAAGTTTTCTGGACACTGTGTTGGAGACCAGCCCACTGGACTTTTTCCTCCTTTAGGTGTTCTCAGGTCTCATGGTACTGTTATTATAACCTGCAGCAGGTATCACCTGTTAGCTGAGCACAATTATTCAGGTTGCTATTTTTTTCTGTGAAGTATACCCCATCAGCTCAGCCTGCTGGTAAGTGTCATATCCCCAACAGTTTACGCACAGTGTTTCCCCAAATTTCTCTGTACTAAGCAAGCTGGAATGACTGCTGGAATGACTGCTCGTCTGTGAATAAGGGTGGCAGATTATCAGCTTAGTCTTTGCATAGGATTCTTAAACAAATTACTCTTTACTTAAACATTGGGGGCAATATACTGATTGAAGCAAAGATTTCCTCCGTTTACCTTCATTTTCTTTTCTCAGCCCAGGGATCTGCTGTCTGTTCAAAATGGAAAGACAAGGATAAACCAAGTCACACTTGGAGGTAGGGCAACAACCCTTATAGCTGGAGGAGAAGACTATTATATGTCTTGTGTACATAGAATATTTGACTCAGCCTTACATTCCGGCAAGAAAAGAAGGGAAAATGGTCTAGGTGAAACGTCTATGAAGTGACTGCAAAAATGTTTGGAAAATTTTATACAAAAAGTCAGTATCAGTTTTTCCCTTCCAGAGGAGGAGGAGGTATTGACTGCTGCTCTGCAGAAGGTCTGCTCAGCACCTGACACTCTAATCAATGGAGTAATTGAGCGGAGACCACATTTTTCATTTTGCAGATGATATCAAGCTTGGAGGGACTGCAAGGCTACCAGTGAACTGGCTCAGGCTTCAAAGTGGTCCTGACAAATGTGTGAAAACCATTTGACCTTTCCCTCCTATGCCAATTCAGTTCAACAGAGGCAGGCACATTTGACTGAGAACAAATGAAGGAAGGAAGATGAATGATTTGGCAGCAGTTCTGCAAAGCGATCTGAGAATCACAGGGGATGAGAAGAAGAACATGAATCAGCATTGTGCAAAAAAGGCAAACATCATATGGAGATGTATAAATAGGAGTGTTAAATATAGGCCAGTTAAAACAGTCCCCCTGCTCCACTTGGCACTTTAGAGGACTTAGCTGGCGTAAAGCAGTTCCTGACTTTGTAATTGCAAAAAGATTCAAGGACTTTGTTGTTGTTTTTTTTTTTTTAATCAATAAAGAAGAAAACTGAAAGTATAATACAAAATTAATGGAATTAAGCAGAATGAAAGGAGTTTAGTTCTTCATGCATGTCCTAATGATAAGGGTAGTGAACACTGGCAGGCAGCACTGGCCGTGAGGTTATGAATCTCTGTTATTAGATGTTTTTAAAAATAGGTTGGACAAACTGATGTTAGGACTCTAGCTTATAGAGAAGGTGATCCTACCTTTTGGCAAGGGGATGGACTTCAGGGAGCACACACACCTTCCAGAGCCTTCCCAACTGTACCTCAGTCTTTCTCTGATTTGGCAGGAGTTTAATGACATGATGCTGGAAACTGAGACATGTGGCTGGGAAACAGTAGCCAGAGACCTAGGTTGTTGTCAGCACCTCTGTACTGGCCAGAAGGTGACAAGGAGATATGGGAAACATGAAAATTGTTGCATTTGGCCCTATTTTCTTACATAAAAAAAGAAAAATCATAAAGATATGCCAGCTTGAAAATAAATTGCATGACACATATTGTCTTTTATACTGCATCAGCATTGCTGTAAAGACGGACACATGCTAATACCAAGATATTTTCTTCTAGGGCTTGACCTTAAATAGCTTTAGAACTCATTCAACAACAGATTGTCAAGCTAAAAATTTAGCAACTCTCCAAATGCCACTTGCATTTCATAGCATGCAGAAAACAGTCTAACTCTTCCCAAACCACAGTATGTTCATATGCAGATTCACTTTTGTGCAAGGCCAGCAAGAAAAACACAAGCCCTCTTTACCCAGCCTGAGCAAAAGAAAAATGAATTTGACAGCTGGCCTTAAACACTTTCTCCTTGATGATTCAAAGAAAATGGAATCCATCTAAAGCTGTTGATTAATTCTTCAAATACAGATGGAGAGGAATACCTTGAAAATTTAACCCTTAGAAGTATAATACATGAATGCATGGGGGTGGGGGAAGGGCTTTCTTTTACAAGGTTTTCAAACAACCCTTTTCAAGGAATATAATACCTATTTTGTATTACAGGAGGCCTTTATCTCTACAGCTCATGAAATGTAAGAGAAAAGCTTTATAGATTCTCATAAAGGTGATGCATATTACACAGAGTCTAGACTTTGAGGAGTTATGGATTCAAGCCAAACAATCTCTGTCTTTTCATACAGTCCAAATAATTATCAGAGGCAAGAGGCTAGTCAATGGATAAAGTATTAGTTCAGATAAAGTTCACATAAAGTATCTTCTAAAATACATTTTAGTAGAATTTTGAAAAAAATAGCAATATCCATGGATTGCAAGGCACACTTCTAGAAATATTTCATCAAATAATTCAAATGTGTTTCAATGTATTTGGGGATATTTAACATTTAGGTTATCTCTTTAGGGCTACCTTCAGTACATAGGAAGTTTTTACTGTTGCTGTCAATAGTATGGGTTGTAGAGTTAGCCAGACTAAAAGTTTAAGAATTCCTCCAGGAGAACTGAGGTTTTTATCATGACTGAACTAAAATCTGCCTCTAATTTAAAAATATTACAATAGATTTGGTGAATATAGTCTGTCTTTCTGTGTTTATATGTACTTTTAAGACAGAGGACAGTAATAAGAATTTCATTGAACACCCATATGTACACATTCAATGTGCTATAAAATACCTGATTAAATCTAATTAAAGGAGAACACTGCATTCAGAAAATCCCTCTTCCACTTCTTCTGAAACTGGCACATTTTCATTAAAATGAATGCCATAGAAATGTACAATTTGCAGGAACTAATTTATCTTCCTTTTTTTTTTTTATTTCTTGCAAAGTCATAGGAGGCTTTTAAAAGTCATTTCCTCCACAGAAAATAGGAAATAAAATACAGTAACTTTTATTGCATCTGGAGAATATAGTTCCCCCTATTGTGCCATTCAGTGGTAGTTACATGATTCTTCTAGACATGCTGACATAAAAAAACCAAACAATTTTGAAAGATGAAAAGAGAAATTTCAGGAATATGTTTCTCAGGTTGTCCACACCGAAGATTGCAATACAAAAACCCAATCTTTTTTTGAGCCATCATTTCTAATATCATGGTAGTAAAATGAATTAGCAAAGGAAAGAAGCAAGTCAAATATATTCTTACAAGGCAGGGCACACTGTGAATGCAAATGAGATTGTATATAATCCCAACTCCTTCCTTTTGGTGAAATATTTCTTTGGAACTCTTTCAGAATATAAAGTACAGAGAAGCAAATATAGCATACAGATGCCCTCTAAGCAGAGAAATCTTATTTTCCTTTTAAAACAGGGATTTTAATCAGCAGTGATTAATCCCCAGATAGAAATGAAATTGATAGTCACATTCCAGTAATTAAAACAATAGCTTAGACTACAGTTTTAGTCATTGTTCAGTAGAAAACAAGAAGTGTCCCAGAGGAAGCTGCTGCTGGACACATCCTACACTGGTGCACTGGGCAGGATATTGTGAGACACCTGTACAGGACTAGCAGGTGAGCCGAACTTGAGGTTTGGTTCCAGTGTTCCAGTTCATCCCATTTAGCAAATGACACGGGATGAAATCCCGATTTGAACTGGATGTATAAGAGGTCATCTACACCTTACAAATGTAAGACAAGGCAAAGCACAAGTGGTTTCAAAAAACAACGCCAGTCCCCATGCTCCAGCCCTAGTAGCTAAAAATCAGCTGGCTTCACCTGACATGATCTCCTGCCTCTTTGACTGTAATTAGTTGTTGAGTTTATATGAGTGATGAAGACCCTGGGGTGAAGTACATTCCTGGGCCAAGGCTCAGGACAAGAATTGTGTATCATTTAACTCCTTCTTCTAAGTAGTGAGAATTAGAAATCCATAATCTGTGTTTTATCTTGGTGAAGGTGTGCATTGCATTCATTCAGAATTCATAAAGAAAAAACGCCAGTTAAAAAATAGTCAGAAGACTGATGTCTGTTTGATAAAAGGGGGTGGTATAGAATAGAAAAATGTTATTATTTACACTGAATCTTAAAGGTTTAGTATAAAGAATAAAAATAAATTGATAAGAGGCTAGTTAATGATTAATGAATACTATAAACATGTTACATGGCTACAGAAAATCAGTATATTGTATTCTGGAAGACAGCAAATAATGTTTTCAAAGCAACCTATCAGGTCTCATGTTAGAATTTTGGTTCTAAAGTAAAAATTCTAATCTACTTAAAGTCATTTGTAATTGGATTTTTATTATAAAATACAACCAGAAAAAAGATTAACAGCATTATCTCTGACTATATCTGGTACAAACAACATAAAATGTCTGAGAACAAAATTCATGTATAAGGAAATGAAAGCTGGATAGGAAATATTTGAAAAGTGTTCTTGTTTTGCTTCAGAATGAACGAAGGACCTCCTACCTGAGACAGAAACAAAGCAGACAAAAGAATTTTAGATATTGCAGTAGGGAAGGGCTTTCAGCTAGCATCAGTATGAAAACATTAATTTGAAGGTCAGGTGTTCCCACAATACAAAGTACAAAAACTACATTTCTCATGACAGTTTGTAATGGGGAACAATGCATTAAATTGGCAGATGTTCATTTATGGCAGTACAATTGCAAAAGCTACTTTTGTGGCACAGAAGGAAACTGTGGGTGACTCTTCTCCACTAGGTATGAGGCTTCATTTTTTGTTATAAATTCCATGACAAATTTTATATTTAATATCTGACTGGCTATATGTATTTTTCAAGGGAGATGGTTACATTGCAAATGGATAGATGATAATTCAAAGTACGTGACTTCCAGCTTGTTATACCCATTGCTTAAGGCACATTGATACTTAGATTATGCTATCTACTCTTGTGCCTGGTTATACAAGATAACACAGTTGTTAAGCAAGTCACATTTATTATCTTGGTACAACATGTTCTTTTATTGCAATGGCATGCTCACTTAGCAATTCTGGATACCTGGAGAAAATCTGGAATGTCTGCACTCCCGTCAAGAGATAAGATATGTGGAGGCAAAAGCCTCAGCCTCCTACACCTCACACAGTGTTTCTCTAGTGTGTGTCTGTGCTTTCATGATCAGTCACTTCCTTGGAAAGATGAAATACTTTTTCCTTCTTGAGTCCCTTCTCCTTTTGTAGTCCTTTATATCTCTGGTATACCATCTTCTGAGGATGTCTGCTGCCAAATGCTTTTTCCATGTCTGGTTGCAGTCACAAGATGTAATCAGCTCAATGGGACAAGGCAGATCAGTGTTTGAATCTTTGCTGTTTTCTGACCAGAGAGAGAGATAACAACATGAGCTTTGGTTCCTTTTCTTGTATGTTGGTGTTATTGTCACACTGCATCTGTGGCAACGGTATTGCACGTGTGAGTTATGACCACTGAGCTGCATAGCAAAACCTCATTTTCTCACTCTCATGCTTCTAGATGAAAAACAACTCACCCCAGCCCAGCTGGGTGAAAAAAGTACTTTCCTTGATGGTAAAAAACAGATCTTCAAGTCTTCAGGCAGAGCCATGCACATCCAGAAACCTCAGTCTTCAATTCCCACAGCCAGATAAATGAGCCAAGCCAGAAGGTTGTTATGACTGAGGCTTCTCTAGTTCTTTGATTTTTTGATATGAAAATTCCATCTCTATCAAAGCTGGTATGTACATTTCCATAAAAAAGCTGTGGTTTTGATAAAGCTTCACTTCAAAAATAGTTTCTGCTGGAAAATTCCCAACATATCATATAAAGTACTGTTTGGATGACACATTCACTAAGATAATATCACCTTAACAATAACTTAGGGTTTAATACACATTTACCAGCAAAAAAGGCTAATCTTCAAAAATTTTCATCAATTGTTTAAAGAACATTGTGCCTCATCCATCTGAACTTTTTCTTCATATAGTCTTCTGAACTTGGATATTTCATGAGATCCTTTCTTTAGCATCATTAGGGTCTTGAGCTCTGGAGACAAATCCCTGTTGGAAGGTACTGATAAACCACCACAACAACTTGTATTATTGTAGTGCCTTAAATCCCTTCCCAAAGCTTCACATTCACGTTGATGACATCTTCACTTTCCCTTCTTCCCTGAGAGTGCCAAGAAAAACTTTCATTCAAGGTAAAAGTCAAGATGGTTATAGATTAGGGATTTTAAAGAAGCAATTAAATAATACTAATTACAGGCAGTATGCTAGCAGATCAAGTATTGTCAAGTTTGGGATACTTAAAAAAAATTCTTTCCTATGAACAAATCTGTAGGTAAACTTTGCCAATCTAAGGCATGGGAATAAAAAACCCCAGTGCTCTGCTGTATTATGGTAATCTAAAGTTATCACCATTTAGCACCAGTTTTATCACCAGTGTTTAGAAATATGTCATGCATGAGTGTACACATTGAATTTCTACTCTTTC